AGGGACTGATGAGATGCTTTTTCCAAGGAGGTGGCACCGGGCATACTATCTCTGTCCTTGTCGCACACTAGCTCTGTCCTTGTCTTACACATTGCGGGTATAGGGAAAAGCTTCGAAAACGCCCCGCCGCTAGATGGCGCTGCTATCGGGCGCAACCAAAATTCTCCATCCTTGTCGTACAGTCGTGCTGTCCTTGTCTTACTCATTGCGTGGATAGGAAAGCCCCTGATTGCACTCTATATAAATGACTGTTATATATACTGGCTGTTACGCTTGCATGACTGCTCCTGCGAGCTGCAACCGGCTTTACACAGTCATAATTTCGTCCTATCAGCGTCGTTGTATCAGTACGAGAATAATATTTATTGTAATCGTTAAATATACCTTCCAATATTTATTTTATCTGATATGATATTATGAATTAATTAGTATTGAAGGTTTGTTGTGCAAGAGGGAAATGAATGTAATAAATTGTGAGGGGAGTAAATAAACAAATTTTAATTAGAATCTTTATTTATTATTCCATTTATAATTACATGAGTATGTATACATTACTTTATAACTACTTATTACTCTAAATACCATTTTATGCTTTTCATAATGTTTGTACAGATGTTTATATTCTATTTTCTTAAAAAATAAACGGTCGTTTAATAAATTCGGATGCTTGTATTATTCAGCCACCCTTATCTTTTTTCAAATGATATCGGTGGCGTGACCTAACAGAGACTAACTGGTACTATGTGGCTAGAAGTTTGAGCGTTCTTGCATCAGGTGGCGCGTCTAATTATGGATAAAAAAAGGGATTTTTAAAAGTAGTTTTTAAAAATTATTATCTTAATTGATTTTTAATAAATTAGACGCAACTATTTCGTATTATTAATGAAATATTTATTGTATATTTGATTAGGAATAAATAATTACGATATTTAGAGTCTTTCTATAAAGAAAACGTTTAATTCTATAGACTCCATAGTTAACCGTCGGGGTTTTGTAATTACATAAATTATTGAACACGAAATAATGTTAATATTCTTTTGCTCATTCTGTATCACAGTTAACAGAGAAGAAAATTATGTGATAGTCGAAGGATGGATGTCTGAATAGGAATGGAATATCGGGATCAAAGGTTTCAAATAAATCCCAACCACTATTATAAAGAATCAAACTTTTATTTTGACAATAATCATCACTCGCTGGTGCGATTGAAACTTCAAACGAATGAAGACTTATTTGAAGAATTATTTACCTTTCGCATCCTAAAATCTCGTAGACCTTTCAACGTACAGTTACAAGCAAATACACGATTCATCTGCACATAAAAATAAAACTATCCAATAACAACCAAACGTTTCTTTCTTTTCAACTTTCAAATATAAAATATATCGAAACAATTTGATTTAAACAGTGTTAAAGCTATCCGTTTGTTTCAATCAACACGCAGGCCAAATAAAAGGTGTTTAACTTCGATCTAAAGAATTAAGGCTTACAACAGTTATTCGAGAAATTCTAAAGTTAACTATACAAATGTCCAATCAACACAGGCAACGCAATTAACGTTAATCCTCCCTTCAACAAACTTGAAGCTGCTCAAGTCAGAGTTTGTAAAATTGATAATTTTCATACAACATTCAATATCGCTTCCCGATAAAAGTAACGTCCCACTTAATAGTAATATCGAATCATCGGCTCTCAATCCATTATTCAACACTCGAATATTAACCCGAACAAGTACTCATTTAATATTTGCTTAAGAATGACAACGCGGTCCTCGGCATATATGTTATATTCGACTAGATTACGTAATATATG